ATTTACTATCTGTTATAGATCACTAAGCGACAGGTGTTACAGTATAACTATCTTCTTTCCCCGTTTCCCCCAGTCAGGTACTATCTGTCACAATGCCACCTTAGAATTCAATACGGGGTAAGATCTTTGTTTTGCCTTTTCTTCCATCCTGAAAACCTATTCTGTTTGTCTTTCAATCCTTTAGTGTATTTACTCATGGGTGAGGAGGAATTTCTTAACTTTATTCATTGCACTTCTAGATATAAACGTTACACCTGATATGGATCTGTTATTTGGGGCACTGTTAGAACTGATTTGTATTCCACCCCCAAATTCACAAGCTCTAACCCCCAATATGACTATATCTGAAGATGGGCCTAATTTAAGGAGGCAATTAGGGTGAAACAAGGTCTTAAGGGCACAGCCCCAACCTGTTAGATTGGTATCGTTATGAGAGGAAGAGACACCAGAACCCACTCTCTGTCTTCACACACAGAGGAAAGGCCAGGTAAGGATGCAGCCGCCTGAAAGCCAGGAAGAAGAGTCTCATCAGAAACCAACCAGGATGGCACCCTGCCCTTGGGATTCCAGCCTCCAGGACTGTGAGAAAATTAATTTCTGTTGTTTAAGCCACCTGTCCGTGGTGTTCTGCCGCCGACAGACTAACAAAGGCGTGAAATAGCTACAGGAGAAGGACATTTGTCCTTTTCTATAATGGAAGGAATGCTTAAAGTTCCGAAGCCTGCCATACAGATGAATGCCTTCTTGGACGCAGCTGGCTACTGCTGATAATAGACTAGAGTATGCTTTCTTCACTGAGTCCTCATTCTACTTGACACCCCAGAAGTGAAATTAAAGAGGCTTTCTCCTTTCTTAGCAAAGCCTTATCCAGACCCCTGGTACTAAATCTCTCTGATTATAAAAGCTTTTTATTCCCTTCTGCCATAAAAATAAGAAACTACTATCAAAGAGCTGACAGTCTCCTCGAGATAAAAAGCACTCTGAACCTTCCATAGCTCTCTTGCTGGACTCAGTAGCAGCGAGCTGGCCTTCAGGTCGGCATTCGGTGGCAGAGGCTGCCACACTCTCCTCTTAGGTACCCTTCTCTGTGGTTCACTGACACACCACTGCAGCCTCCTGAAGACCAGAACACGACTCGTCTCTTAATGTCAGATTAAACAAGAATGAAAGCCTACTTTCCTCCGCTGGTCACAGTAACCGCCAACAACAATTGGTGGAGAAGCCTCTCATTGTTTTGATAGCGATAGCACCCTGACTTAAAGATGTTCCACTTCTTCCAATCCTGGTCTCTCATCTTTAAGGATTGGAAGAAGTGGTCTCTCTCATCTTTAAAGGCTTCCCTGATAGCTCAGTTGGTAAAGTAGCCGCCTGCAATGCAGGAGACCCTGGTTTGATTCCTGGGTTGAGAAGTTCTCCTGGAGAAGGGATAGGCTACCCACTCCAGCATTCCTGGGCTTCCCTTGTGGCTCAGCTGGTAAAGAATCTGCCTGCAATGTGGGAGACCTGGGTTCAATCCCTGGGTTGGGAAGATCCCCCGGAGAAGAGAAAGGCTACCCACTCCAGTATTCTGGCTTGGAGAATTTCATAGACTGTATATAGTCCATGGGGTCACAAAGAGTCAGACCACGACTGAGTAACTTTCACTTCACTCATCTTTAATGTGGACAAGAACTGTCAGGGCACTCATGGAAGGCAGCTTTTGGTTTGCTGTTTGTACATGACAAGAGAGGGCAGGAAGTTCCCTCTCCACTCCAACTAGGTGGCTACACCTTCTACCCTGACTACAGCGTGCACATCTGCATTTCATACACTTGCCAAAATTCACTCTGATTCTTGCTAGGCCCCTGGAGCTGGCTGTGCCTCTGGAGTTGTTCATCACCGTGGATGGTAGCAGAAGTAACAGAAGTTTCTTGCTTCAGCTGAGTAAAATTACTAACAGTCCTGGCTATAAAATTTTTCTCAGCAGAACTTCATAATGATACTTCACAGAGAAAGTTCTGGATGATGCTGCTGTGTCAGGCAGAGGTCACATCCTTTTCCTGGCCACAGTGCCATGTTGTGTTGTTTTGAAGACTGGATCCAAATTCAAAGAAGCTCTCTTAAACATTACAGGATGACTTGAACATCTGAACAACTGCCTCAGTGTTCTAGCCCACTTTTGTTGTCATCCAAATACGTTCTCCCTCACCATATATATGAGACAATGACAGGGTAAAGGGTTCAAACAGTTAGGAATGACTGGTACCCCCAAACTGTTGTCAACAAGACCTAACGATACTACCTTACTTGCTGCATTTCAAGTCTACAGTGTGAGCAAACCCATCAAGATAAAGAGAACAACAACCCACCCTCATTCCCAAGGGTCACCTGTGAATACTCAACTTTTATCTGAACCAAGCCGTGCTCCACATGTGAGTAATTTCATGCGTTTTCAGAAGGAGGAGAAGCATATTTTGGCTTTTAACTGAAACAGTTAAGATATGTCATGCCTAGATTTAGGATTGCCTTCCCAATAAAGAGAAGACAATACACTTTACAAGTCAGATTGAAAGGAGGTTGGTAACACTTACACAATCTAACTAGACTGTCACTGTCCATGTCAGCAGGATCAGCTGGAACAGTGTAACATCAAAATGAAGTACTGAACAATAATCAAGCCATGACCTTTGCGAGCATGGGAGGCAACCTATCCCTCAGAGCAGCCAAGGGGAGCTTCACAAACCAGAAATCAGTGTTGGCCACCCCATGTGGCATATGTGATCTCAGTTTCTGGATCAGGGATAGAACCCATACCCCCTGCAGTGGAAGCAAGACGTCCTAACCACTGGACCACCAGGGTAGTCCCTGACCTCGTATAAATCTAAGCATCCCAACCCCCTCTCCCCCCAAATATCCTACACTGGATGCTGATGAACAGACTCAGTAAAATCCTCATATGAGCTCTGAGGGTGAAATGGAAAGGAGAAAGAATTGAAGACAATCTAGAGTCGAAGTTATGAGTAAGCAGAAGGCAGTCAGTCTTATTAGCCAATGCAGAGACAGTATAACCGAGTCTCCCTGTTGACAAAGGACTAGAGCAGAGAGGGACAAGGTGGTGTTTGCTGCGGTGATGGGATAACGAAGCTTCTTGAGCTGCACTGCATCCTATGCAGCACATCCCAATCCTCCCCGAGGTCCTCTGAAATGGTGCCCTGTTCTACATCTCCCCGTGGAGCTTTGCCACAACTCTGTATGATATGAACATGCTCCGCTGCTCACAACACGGTGCGCTCGCATTTCTCCTCCACAGCTATTCTTTTCGTCTTCCCCAGTGCAGTAAGTGATACACCATGCATCCAGTAGCTCAAGCCAAACACCTGGAAGGTTTTTCAAAGACTTTTTATTATGGATAGTTTCAAAGATGGACAAAAATAAAGAGAATGGTACCTATTACTCAGCTTTAGGGAGCAGCAACATCTTGTTACATTTTATCTACTACACAGCATGCCCCAGATCAAAGAAATTAATTCTAGGATCTTCCTTTCCCCCTCATATCTCACAGCCAATTCATAGGAACATCTTAGCATTATCTCTCAAACTCATCCTCAATCTACCAATTTCTCATTTTCACTATCTGAATGCAAGTCACCAGCATTTCTCAACTAAACTCGTCTAACAGCCTCCAAATTGGTCTCTCTTGCTTCCACTATTGCTCCCTACTTTGATCTATTCTAAACAGCAGGCAAGATGAGCAATAAGCAATCAGATCAGTGTGGTTTCCTACTGCATTTAGAATAAACTTTAAATTCATGAAGTCTTTAATCAGGCTGGTTTGCTTCTCTAACCCCCTCTTGTAGCCACCTCAGTCCTGCCAAGCCCCATTGGCCTTCTCTACCTTTCTTCTAACACCAAGCCCATCCTGCCACAGGGCCTTTGCATGAGTTGTTGCCCTGGCCTGTGATGCTCTTCGCCAGACCTATACCTCGCTGATTCCCTGTCATCTTTCAAAGCTCAGCTTAAATGTCACATCCTCCTAAACACCTTTCCAAGCCACCCAATCTACAGTTGTTACATCACCATTTGCATTCTCTACTACCACCATTTGATATTTTTCATGTATCTTAAAAAAATTTTTTTCCCCTCTCTCCCCAGCTGGGCACAGGGATGATAAGATCTATCCAGTATATAGGTTCATTTCTCTTTCTTAAAAAAAAAAAAACCCTGATTTTGTTCAGATATCAACTCCTTCCCTGTGCAGCAGCCATGGGCCTCAGGAAAGGCTGACCCTCTACCCTCTAACTTCAGGAAGTGATATGACTTGACTGATAAAAATCTCATATACCTTGCTAGTGGCTAGTTCAGAAATAAGTATTTGGCCCAATTCAAGCCAAGGAGATAAAAGGCAAGGAAGAAAGCTATGAAAAGCCCCAGCCTTTTTCTCCCTCCAGTCAGGAATGAAAAAACAAGCTGCCGCACCACACCTGTGAGAAGAACAAGCTTTAGGAAGAAGCCAACGTGGTGTATGCAGAACAGAACTTGAGTCTTTGATGACACAGTTCTCGTCAACCCATCTAGGAATACACAATATCTCTGACTTCCTTTTACGTGAGCTAATGAGTGTCTCTATTATTTAAGCCAATGTAGGTTAGATTTTCTATCTATAGGCGAAAGTACACTACACATATAGGGACTCTGTTTACTTGCTCAATGCTATACTCCCAGCACCCAGAATATGGTGGGCATTTAACAAATCTATACTGAATAAATAACTGCAAGAGTCTGAAAGAATAACCTATGAAGGAGAAAGAATCCTAAAACAATTATTCTCCATTGAGCTCACTGACTGAGCTATAAAAAGTCATTAAATCCTTAAGAACAGGCATCCACTCAAGTACTACTGAGTAAGCAAAACATGTTCTTGATAACGATTTTTAAATGCTGACCTAACACTGAAATATGTCACCATCATTACAAAAGGAAAATGCCACTATCAAAAAGCATGCATATTTTTGCAGACTTACAGGTTCTTGGGGTTCTGATTCTTCCCATGCTCCCCAACCATCATCTTCCCAGTTTGATTTACCTGTTTTGAAAAAGATGAAAAGCGCTTATTACATAAAATATAGAGCTTAAATTATTTTAAAAACATTTCCTCTAAACATAATAGAACCAACCTCATATTAAGGAAGAAAACAATGGTAAACTATACTAGGTCAGGATTTTGCTATATGTAATAATATTCAGGAAACATTTGACCCAAATTTCCACATCTGTGTAAAAGTGTGCAAGTTAGTTGGATTTTAAGATACCGGACATCAAGTCTACCCACATTTAATTCAAACTGCAAGGTGACTTTTTAAAAAAAATCTTAAAAATGGCAAATATTTGTTACCTAATATATTAGACAACTTAAAGGTACAAAGTGGCCAAAAAACACACCTAAAATTTCACACAGATATCTTTAAAAGTGTTTTAATAAGCTAAGGTATCAAAGATTAGGAAAACAATTTTGAAACCAGATTGGTCTACTATTTTCCACCTTTTCCTGACACTCTGGGATTTCTTATACATGAGAACATTGTCTTGGATTAAAATAAGATGTCCAACCACCACTGCAATGGGGAATTAAAAATCCCAAATTGGGGGCTTCCCTGGTAGTCACTGGCTAAGAATCTGTCTTCCAGTGTGGGAGATGAGGGTTTGATCCCTGGCCGAGGAACTAGGATCCCACATGCTGCAGGGTGACTAAGCCCACGCACAGCAAGTAGAGAAAGCCCATGTGCCGCAACAAAGACCCAGCACAGATTTTTTTTAAAAAATTAAATAAAAAATAAAAATCCCAAATTAGTGAGTTCATTTTTATGTAATTATCTTTGAATTCATCCTATATCATATCAGAAGAGAATGAATAAAACTATCATTTTTAAAGGAACTATTAATATTCTGAACCAAACATCAGATACTCTATATGTATTACTTCAAATCAAATTAAAAAACAAATAAAAGTTTCCCTAAGTGTGAAAAGAGCAGAGAATTGTCTAATTATAAGTCTAGCCCCAGAATCAGATTACCTAGGTTCATCCTGGATCCAGCCCTTATCAGCTCTGCGACCCAGAACAGTTACCCCGTATTCATAAGCTCTAGCTCTCTTACCATAACATCATGGAAAATGACAGTACCTACAGTTAGTGGGATTGCTGTCAGCATGCTAAGTCCCCAGTGCCTGATACATAATAAGTTCTCAATGCCAGTCATCAGGATTTAGCTATTAAAATATTACAAAATATAAATATTGTACTTAAACCAATCAGCCTCAAAATTCTGGGGGAAGAAGCAACCTAAAAGATGGGACTGAACATGTTATCTACTGACAGGAGGAAGCAAAAAGAACTTCCACTTATCTACAACGTTCCAAAGGCTGCTAAAATCAACTATATATTAGATGATATATAAAAAAAATGTTATAGTCTGGTACTTGGAATCATTGCTCAATTAGCTCTGCGGCAATATCCCCATCTTTGGTACTTAAACACCAAATAGCTACTTTATGATGTGCCAAGCACACTGCTAGGCATATATTAAGTCCTAAAATAGTACTAATCATTTGATTAACACTGTACAACTAATAGATTTCCGTACACACATCAATTGAACAATATAACAAATGTTCTGTTAAATACCCTGTGCCAAATCCTGTAGCTGAAACAGACAAAAAGACAAACATAAGAACTCCTTTTCTTTTTAAAGAATCTGTGATCTAGTGTAGGAGAGAGACAAACAAGTAACCGTCGTGGTGATGGCTGTAACTGACTACTAGGGCAACTCAGATGAGGCCGTAAAAGAGACGAAAAGCTATAGGGAGGCGTCATCTTAAATGAAATCTTACAGAAAGTGGCTAGAGGGACTGGTGGTTCCTCCACTGGATCAGTGGTTTGGACTTTGCTTTCTAATGCAGGGCTTCGGGTTTGAGTCCTGTACAGGGAGCTAAGATGACAACATGACTTGGGGCCAAATATTGTAACCAATTCAATAAAGACTTTAAAAATGGTCCACAGTTTTTTTTTTTAAGTGGCTAGAAACTTTTCAAAGGCAAAAAAAAAAGCCATTCAGATAGAGGTTATCACATAACAACAACTAACATGTATTTAGCATTTCTATATGCTTAAATGCTTTATAGACATTAATTCATAAAAGCATGACAAAGATCCCCTATCTCCCTCTTTTTACAGAGAAAAGCAGATTGCCTAGTTTACATCACTTGCCTAAGATCACAGAGGGTTAAATGGAGGGGCGGGGTTTGAATTCGGTTCTGCCTGAGTTCCAGAGCCCATGCTGCCTAGTATTCTCCCATACTTACTCCTTCGGCCTATGAATAAGGGTAAGATTAGGAAATAGCGGGGCTTACAAATAAGACCAAAAGCAAGATTTCATTACATTAACATGGAAATATTCCCCTGATATTGAGATTTGGACTTTTTTTTTTGGTAACTTGGAAAAATACAGTTGCTCTTTGGCAATCTAAATTTGTTAGGCAATCCCTTTAGTCTGCTAATTTTTCTACTGCATAGAAAGCAACTGATCTAATGGGCTGATGGTAACTAGGCCATCTGATTGATAAATGTCTTTTGTACGAGAAAGCAAAATGTATAGTAAAGCTTATTGCTCTAAGGTTCACAATTCAATGTTAAAACTGCTATAAAAATGTTTATTAAATTACCACACTCTCTGGGAAACTGTGCAGAATTTGAAGTTCATGAAGAATTTAAAGTTCATGACCTTCATGACTTCATGAAGGTCAGCTAATCATGTATTCATTCATGCATTCAACAAACACAGCACAGCATCTCTTCTGGGTTGGGCCCTGTGCTAAGTGCTGAACATACAAAAGCAAAATAAGCCTTCAAAGAGCTTAGTCTGTGCACAGAACCTCTGCTGAATGCTGTTCAAAAGAAAACTATGTAAAATGTGCTATTTCTCCTCCATACTGGTAAAAAGTACCCAGCTCCATTCACAAATGACTCATTCGATCAGCAGAAGACAGCAGAAATTTTGATTATCAGCCCCTGCAGAGACCCAGTTCTCTCCATAAAGCACAATTCAAAACATTCCAGAAAGAAAAAAGCTCTGAGAAATATCTTCTTTTTACAAAACAGTAGTGCTCATGACGGTTTACCCATGTCTCAATGTCTCTGACTGAGGAATTTGTTATTAACTGGAGGGAAAAAAAAATTAATCAGGCACCTCCTACTATCACATGAATACATTTCCCAAAGGGGTCATGGTACAAAGAGGTTAAAGGAAGGTGAAAGTGAAAAACAGAGCTGTTACTTGGAGAGGTTACAGATATTTTTGAAGGTTGGTTTAGAATTCTCAGTATTGTTTACAACACTGTAAGAAAATGCACTCCAAATTTTAGTTAACTTAAAAATGAGAAACAGAAAAGGAAAAAAAAAAAATCAAACACGGAAACATCCGTAAATAAGGTACTACCTTCTGGTTATTGTTACTCAGTGTCAGTGATGTAAACTTTGTAGCCTCCTGACTTACCTTAGAATTCATCTGATACAGTTTTGCAGGCTGCTATTTGACAGCTACTGAAGTGTCAGAATCTTAGCACCTTACCAAGGTTATTTCTTATGTCCTCAAATATAAAAGCAGGTCAAGCACAATCTTCAAAAAAAGCTTATATTGAAAAAACAGCTGCTGAATGTCTAATAAAGATGCCATTCATATAGAAAATTTTATTCAGGTGATCTTTCCTTCTGGTAACTTTTCTATGAGGGATGCTCTTCTTCAATCCATGTCATTATCAGTGTATTTTAACTGATTATTGATCAAGGTTGCGAATAACAAGAGCAATGGTGTTTTAACAATTGAGAACTAGGCCATTTAATGTCAATAAGGAACATTTACTATAAAACTTTAAGGTCTATAAATTTCTACATAACAGGAAGAAATAAGACACCAAATGATGATGGTCTGTTAGAATAAATAGATCAAAACCTTCTATAAGCCAAGGTGATTTGAAAGTCCTAAACTCTTGTATATGTTAAGACTTAAGTCAGTTGAAACTCGTTTGAAAAGATGTAAGTTCGATGTAACTCATCTGAAAAGATCCCGATGCTGGGAAAGATAAAAGGCGGGAGGAGAAGGGGACGACAGAGAATGAGATGGTTGGATGGCATCACCGACTCTATGGATATGAGTTTGAGTAAGCTCCAGGAGCTGGTGATGGACAGGGAAGCCTGGTGTGCTGCAGTCCATGGGGATGCAGAGTCGGACACGACTGAGTGACTGTGAAAAAGTTGGCTTAAAGCTCAACATTAAGAAAACTAAGATCACAGCATCTGGTCCCATCACCTCATGAGAAATAGATGGGGAAACAGTGGAAACAGTGTCAGACTTTATTTTTTTGAGCTCCAAAATCACTGCAGATGGTGATTGCAGCCATGAAATTAAAAGACGCTTACTCCTTGGAAGGAAAGTTATGACCAACCTAGACAGGATATTAAAAAGCAGAGACATTACTTTGCCAACAAAAGTCTGTCTAGTCAAGGCTACGGTTTTTCCAGTGGTCATGTATGGATGTGAGAGTTGGACTGTGAAGAAAGCTGAGCGCTGAAAAATTGATGCTTTTGAACTATGGTGTTGGAGAAGACTCTTGAGAGTCCCTTGGACTGCAAGGAGATCCAACCAGTCCATCCTAAAGGAGATCAGTCCTGGGTGTTCATTGGAAGGCCTGATGCTGAAGCTGAAACTCCAATATTTTGGCCACCTCATGTGAAGAGTTGACTCACTGGGAAAGACCCTGATGCTGGGAGGGACTGGGGGCAGGAGGAGAAGGGGACGACAGAGGATGAGATGGCTGGATGGCATCACCGACTCAATGGACATGAGTTTGAGTGAACTCTGGGAGTTGGTGATGGACAGGGAGGCCTGGCGTGCTGCGATTCATGGGGTCACAAAGAGTCAGACACGACTAAGCAACTGAACTATCAAGGATGGACACTCAAGACATAAACTTCTTTAGGGCGATCAGGATCCAGTGTAGAAATTCCAAAAACCGCACAAATCACCAAATCA